TCATATTTGTAGCCATATCTTATGTGCAAATAAGCCTGATCGAAATATAAGTATATTGTAAATTACACTGTTTGCTTTTAAACGAAAGTCAAATGTCGTTTTCAAGTAAATAACCGATTTCGAAACTAAAGATTTCATCTGATTGAGTGCGACTTTTTAAACTGATTGATGTGCTGACTTTTTATAAAGTCGTTAGGAAAATATTTTAGAGGAAGTGTTTTGCATTGGATTGCAATGCATCTATCTCTTGATTGCCTAAGAAGCCGTGACAAGCACCTTCAGCTTGACCTATTCTTGATCATGCGACACGCCATTTGTTAAGAAGATTTTTCTCAGCATGCCTGTTGAACAGGCACATGTACATGTGATTTTGAATTCTAACCAAGCANTGGATCTCATACAAAAAGGACGGGGGTGCTCGTCTTACCTTTTTGGGGTTAAAAACAAGGTTGTGGTACAAGGCCCACAGCAGGAACTTTTGCGATATCTTTTAGGGCATTGAGCGGAAAGATATGACTATAAAATGTTTAAGCAAGCAACCGGAACGATGATCCTGCTGGTATACGTTGGATCAATAATGATCTAATCGGCTTTGCGTATAAAATGAAGAATACAAAAGCAAAAACCGACACAACGTAGAATGATGTTTTGAAGGTGTACTATATTTCGGCTGGCCAAACCAGCCGTCTTCAGGTACAATGGAAGATCTTCCATTGTACCTGAAGAAGGCTGGTTTGGCCAGCCGAAATATAGTACACCTTCAAAACATCATTCTACGTTGTGTCTGATTTTGCTTTTGGAAAAATATGACTCGATATGATGTGATATCGATTTAAGTATGTGGTTGCGAGACTTACTCCTTTTATTATTCTGAATAGAAACATGGAGGAGACTATTAAAATCTCAATGGCAGTTGCCGGCCTGTTTTCTGTGACCTTGACTACCACCAATCCTTGGCTTGTATTAGGAGTCGTTGGTTTGGTGTGTGCAACAGTTATTGCAGTGAAGGGAATGCAGTCAAGCGGAGAAAAAAAAAGAACAGTTAACTGGAGAGGAATCTGTTATTAGAATGTAGCTAACCTAAACATCTTGCTACAATTTACAATGTTTGTAATCTATAGAACTACTGTATTTGAACCAATGAATTGTGCATTACTCTAAGACTATTTTCATCATTCAACAAGACAGCAAAACATATG